TTTACTTCTATCAAAGGGCCTGAACTAGCCCAAAAAATGACCGAACACACTAAAAATTATGAACTTGACTGAAAATCGGAGGAAGTATTGAAATTAGAAAAAAAAGAAAAGAACTTTATTGTGAAAACGGGTGAGGGAAATAATTTTACCAGCAGAGCAATTGTTATTGCCTCTGGGGCCGTGGAAAAAGAATTGGGAATTGAGGGTGAAAAAAAATTCACTAATTTGGGGGTTTCTTATTGTGCCATTTGCGATGGGTTTCTTTTTCGGAACCAAGAAGTAGCAGTAGTGGGCGGCGGTTATTCAGCTTTGGAAACGGCTTTGTATATGAGTAATGTAGCAAAAAAGGTTTATTTTATTCACCGCCGCTCGGAATTTCGGGCCGAGCCGGAAATAGTAATCCAGGCTCAAAACAATCTAAAAATAATCTTTCTTTTGAATTCCGTTTTGACCGAAATTCAGGGGAGTGAAGCAGTAGAAAAAGTATTAGTTAGTAATTTAGCAAATAATGAAAAAAGCGAGTTATTAGTTAAGGCGGTTTTTCCCTGTATCGGCCTTGCTCCGTTCAGCAGTTTCGCTCATGAATTAGGTGTTTGCGACCAAGAAAATTATATCGCCATTAAAGATGATTGTTCGACAGCAGTTTCAGGTTTGTTTGCTGCCGGAGACGTAGCTCGCCCAACTCCCAACAAAATCAAGCAAATTGTGACGGCCGTTGCCGAGGGAGCCATTGCCGCCCAATCAGTAATCAAATATTTGAAAAAGTAAATAAGGATTTTGTTGTTTTAGAAAATATTTTTTCTAAATTAAAAGGTAAAACAGTCTTAGTAATTGACCATCATTATGAGATATTTAAGTATGTTGATTATATTTACCAGTTCACTGGTGAGAAATTAATTCGCATGAATAAGAAAGAGTTTTTGGCGTAAGGAGTTTTTTACCCAAAGCAATTTTTGTTGTTGTCTTTTTGCGGTCTTGAATAACTAAAATATTTATATATGACATGGACAAGAAAATATTATTCCATAGAGAGAGAGAGAGAGAGAGAGAGAGAGAGAGAGCAATTTAGTTGCTAATCCTCTTAAAAATAATTCAGTTAGCAAGGAGGAGTATCTTGGTCCAATAATCAGGAAGTTTAGTCTTATTTTTAATAAAAAGTGGGGGAAGAGAAATGTTTTTCTTTTCTTAGTGGATTCAGGATAATAATTAATTTGCTGAGTGAAATAAATGAAATATTTATTCCTAAACATGAGAAATTAAAGAATGTAATAACATAATATGGTAAATGTACAAGAATGATTGGATATTAATTATCCCAAAGAAAAAAGAGTAGAAATAAAAGAATTAGAAATTAACAACAAAGATTTAGAAGGAGAATTAGACTTAAGTGATTTTACCAGTTTAGAAACTTTATATTGTGAATGAAATAAACTTACAAAAGTCATTATTTCTCCTTTAGCGAGTAAAAAAATAAAACACCTTGCTTTTTCACAAAATAATTATCTTGGAAGAGACTTTGATTTAACTTATTTCGAAAATTTTACCAATTTGGAATCTCTAAGTATTACTGCCACATCTTTTTCTGGTTCTCTAAAGCCTTTACAAAAATTATCTAAGTTAAAGGGATTATGTATTGAAGGAACTGATATAAGCAGTGGATTAGCGTTTTTGCCAAACAGCGTTGATCAATTGAGATGCGATAGTGTAACTTTTGCTAATCCTATTAATTCTAATCCTCAAGCCGCTAAAATTAGAAAATTACTTGTTCCTTATGAATACAACATTAAAAATTGGAGAAAAGACAAGGAAATATGGCAAAGAAAAGGATTCAGTGATGAAGAAATAGAGCAATGAATAAATTCTGGTTTAGGATTAAAGGAGTGAGTTTTTGCTGAATACTTAAAGAAAGATGGGTATAACTTTTCAAGTGGCGACATAGAAAAATTAAAAAAACAACATAAACATGCTCAAACTTGACTAGACTCTAACTATGAGATAAAAAATGAAATCTTATATTTGCCACTGAAAGAAATTCCTAGCAAATGCTGAAATAAAGTAGAAATAGGTAATGATTGGGATAGAGAATATGTAGAAGCTGCCAAAACTGGCGAAGATGATCTAATGATGATTGGTTACCCTCAAAGCCCATGAGATAGACAATTTAAAAAACAAGAGACTTTAGACAACTTTAAAAAATATGTTTCTGATGGAGAAAAGTTTTTTACCATGAGAGGAGGATATCAACATAAGAAAGTAAAAGATTTTACAGCCAATGATTGAATTTTCCTAGGTGGTTCTAGTGTACTAATTGAACTTTTACGAGAAAGTAATAAATTATTCGCCAAAGATGGTTATGGTCAGGTAACTAGTCAAGAAGCCTTTGAGTTTTTGCAATCTATAATTGAATCGCGGGAGATTAAAGCAACTATTAAATTAACAACTCAATATAAATATAAAGAATTTTTCAACGAATGAACTGAATTAAATATCGCTGGTGAAGATTTAAAAGGCGAACTTGATTTAAAAAACTTTATAAACTTAAAAAAAATTAATTGCCAAAATAACCAATTAACTAATCTCCGTTTGAAAGATTGGAAAAATCTACTGGAGTTTAACTGTGCTAACAACAAATTTGTTAATTTAGATTTTTTAAATTCTGCCACTAACTTAGAGAAATTAGATATACAAAATACTCAGGAACTCTCTCACCAAGGTCTAAAAGTTTTCTCTCGATTTAAAAATTTAAAACACTTAAATGTTAGCCAATGTCCTTTTGGAGGAAGTTTAAAGCCTTTACAGAGCATAAATGAATTAGAAACATTAGATATTACTGGTACTGATATTAGCGAAGGTTTAGAATACTTGCCGGAGAGTTGTGAAAAACTTTACTGTAATAGTGATGACGAAAAATCAGTCAAAATTATAGAAATAATGGACAAGAGCAATTGTGCAGAATATGAAGATAAGGATGGAAAGGATGTTAAATATTACAATCTCAATAAATGGAGAGCTGACCAAGCCAACAACGCTACTGCTTCCGCTATTCCTCTTGAAAGACTCTTTGTCATTCGTAGCAATCTCCAACAACTCTTAAAAAAATGGGGTAGCGAAGATAAAGATAATAAGACTAAATTGGAGAAACTAAGATCCCCGGAACAGTTTGGTAAATTTAATTATCTAACAGGAGTAGAATATGCTTCTACCGCTACCACAGTAGTAGGAGGTGCTTTAACTTTATTAGATTTTTCCACTACTGGGGGAGTGATTACCTTAACGGCTCCTTTAATTGGTGTTGGTGCTTCCCAATTAAAAGCCACCCTTCACGATGCTAAAAAAACTGAGTGAGAAGACTTCAAAAAGGATGCGGATGGTTTTTTAGATAATTATAATGCATTAAGAGGGATAATGAAGCAAGTGGAGATAGGTAAATGAGGTCAAGTAAATCTAGCCTTGAAAAATTTGAAAAAAGCAGTTAACACATTCCTAAAAGAATATGACAAAGACGGCAATGGAGAAATAGATATTGAGGAATTAACTGACAAAAGAAAAAAATTCGCTAATGAATTAGGCAAAGTAAAAGGCATTATTAAGGCTATACAAAATTTAGAAGATAAAATAGTTGAATATCAGAAAGGAGAATTAACCGGAAAGGATGAAGAAAAAGTCGAGGAAGAGAAAGAAGAAGAAATTGCCACAACTAATAATGATCCTTTCCAAAAAATAATCAGCAAACTCAGCGAGCAAATAAAAATAGACAATAGAGATTTAAAAAAAGAGATCCAAAAATTATTTCTTAATTCCAAAAAAATTGCCTTCTTACTAAAAGGAAAAAAAAATAATCAAGTCTTAGTTGTTAATAGCCGTATTCAGAATAACATTCTTACCGATTTATTACCTGAGTGATTAAATAAAAATTATTTCTTAGATTTGGTTGAATACAAAGAAGATGGAGAAAAGAAAGTTTCTGATGTAGAAATAGTCAAAAATCCCTGCCAAAAAATTCTTTCAGGTCAGATAAGAGAAGGAGTCAAAGAGTGATGAAAAGAAACTAAGACTAAAGCATGCACCCCTATTCAATGTTGAAATTGTCTATGTTGTCAAAATAATGATTTCCCTCAGAGGTTTAATTCTCAGGGAGAAGCAATTGAGAAATATTTAGAAATAATAGAAATTAAATTAGATGAAGAACAACGGGAACAGATCAGAGAAAGAGTTCAACAAGACATTGAAGACGAGAAAAATGATAAAATACCAGAAGAAGCGTCAAAAAAAATCCAAGGAAGACTGAACAAATTATTAGAAAAAAAATTATTAGAGAAAGAGAAGAACGAATTACAAAAAAGTGATCGGACTGAGCAACAAAAAGAAATTAAAAAAAGTAAAGGTAAATCCAAAGAAGTCATTTCGGAGTTAACTAACGACCAAAAAATCCAAGGTGGGAGTTCTTACCAAGCCCAACAATTGCAAGAACCTAAATAATATGACACAATTAGCAAAAAAAAAAAAAAAACAATCTACATAATTAGTACCCTAATAGCCACAGTAGCCATAGGAGGGATGGTCTACTGGTTTTGGCCTTCCAGAAGTAGTAAATAAAAAATCATGGTAAAATGCTTTCAAGTGGGCTTGTAACGAACAAGGCTTCAAATATGAAGGATATGACAGTTATCTCTGCCCTTATCACGCTTCCCAAATAGAGGATATGTTAAGAAGACAAAGACAGGATAGAAATAGACCCCAAGACGAATATGAACAATATCCTGGCTGTATTTTTGGCAAAAGAAATAAAAAAACGAAAGAATGTAATGAGAGTTTTGTCGCTTTTATCCAAAAAAATGTCAATACTGCGGTAAAGCAATAGCAACTGGCCAAACTTATTGACCTTTAAAAATGATAAAACGATAATCTTTTGTTCTAAATTACATGGGGAAATTTATTTAAAAAAGGAAGAAGAAGAGGAATTAGAGAGACTTAATCAGAAAGCAAAAAAACATGATGAAGAAATAAAAGAACTCGAAAAAGATTTAAAAGAGACTGACCGGGTAAAACAGAAATGGCAAAAAATTGTGGCCTACGTAAAAACCGGCAAAAACTTATCAGAGTTATGAACTGATTGGGAGGATGAAATTGCTGATTTATCTTCTGATAAAAAAAGACTTTGCTGTGAATATCAGAAAAATATCGAGGAAAAAGAAAGAATTTTGAAAGATAAGAATAATTATTCTCCTTTTTCTAATAATAATTCTTCTGATACATCATGAATGACCTGCGTAATTTGTGAAAAAAGTTATACCAGCGAGCAGGAACACGATAGTCAAAATCCCAACTGCCGAGAGCAAGGACAAATTTGACGGAAAGCATTGGAAAACAGCGAAAAAGGAATATTAAACGTGCATGCAAAATTGAATCTACAGAAAAAAGGTTTACTAATCTTAGTTTTGGCACAGTCTGGGAAGAGAATAGTTTACCCACTAAGCAGAGAAGACATCCGCATCAGAAGCCGAGGGAATTAATTAAGGCACTAATTGGAGCAACTGCTAACGAGGGAGATTTAGTTGTGGACCCTTGTGCTGGTTCCTTTATCGTGCTAGAAGTTTGTCAAGAATTAAAAAGGGAATATTTGGGACACGATTTAACTTTTGAGGAAGTGAAAAATTTTTTAGGAAATAAGCAGCAACAATTATAAACTTGTTTATTTCCAAAACTTTTTTAATGCTTGATATTCGGCAGAAGCCTCAATCATTTTCACCATCTCCGCCACTAATTTCTTATGCAAATCACCATGCTCTTCTTCCTCGGGAGCATAATCAATTAAAATCGCATGAACTATTTCATGAGCCAACACATAAATAAAGGCCTTGAAGCCGAAGTGTTTTTCAAACTCATTTTTTTCTTCGTAATAGTGTCTTAGTCCTAATTGGTAATAGAGAAACAATTCATTAAGGTAAACAGTGTGGGTGGGAATGGTAAAATTATCACCTAAAACCAATAAAGGTTCTTTTTCGTGAAATCCCTGTCGGACTTCTACTTTGCCAGTTTCTTCATTAAAATAAGGTTTTTCTAAAACCAGACCACCAAATCTAATGATTGGTTCGGGTTGTAATTTTCCGTAAAGGAAGCCTAGTTTTTCCCGAAAACGATAATAATAAGTAGTAATAAGATAAGCAAATAATCTTTCGCCTATTCTTTCTATTTTCGGCGTCGACATACTCACTCTATTTCTTTACTACCCGGTTTGCTTATCTGGTAAAAGTCGGTAATAACTACTTGGTAGTCTTTGCTGATATCTTTTACTGGCATGTTTTTATTTTTTTCTCTCAATTGAGTTAGTCAGTCTTGGTTTTCGTTCATATTATATTATTTTTATACAAATATCTTATATCCCCAATGTCCAATTACACAGTGGAAGACTTCGAAAAATGATTAAACGCTGATAAATCCCGGCAGGCTGGCCTCAAAGGCTGATAGTGAATTCTCAAACAAATTAAAACTGATGCCGACTTACAGGCTTCTTTAATTTATGGTAACAATCAAGGGGGTTGAAATTTTTCTGACCCTCAATGAAGAAAAAATGGCAATGAGTGGGGGAAAGTTTTGACGATTATTATCAGGTATTTTTGAAATATAAAGAAGAGATGGATAGTCAAGTGCCCAATGAGGAACATTTAGTTCGGTAAAACCTTCTTTTTTTATTAAATTGTTTATTCAAGGTTTCATGATAAGTATTTATCTTTTTTTTTTCAATCCGAATTAAATTCTTTGAATATGTATTTTTAAACCAACTCGTTCCTCCTAAGCCACCAAATCAACACCACTACTCCTCCCCTTACTAATATCCACCATCGGAAACTCAATTACAATTTGGTCGTAAAGAGCAATCGGCCGAATTTCTTTGCTTTGTTCTCTTAACTCAATGATTTTACAACTGGCTAGCACTTGACAATCCCTTCAAACATTAGCATAATCACGATTAAGTAATTTACTTAATTCATGAATATTAGTAGGTTGCTTGGCTCTTATCACTGAAAAAAGTTCTAACCGAGTTTTACTTAATATTCGGTCAATAACTGCCAGATTATTAGTGATAGAAACATTTTTAGGTTGAATATACTTCCGACCAGTTTTAATACTTTTCTCTAAATGAGAAAATATTTCTTTTACCGATGATTGTGGTTCGTATTTAAAAATAAATTTCTTGTTCATATTATTCATAACTTTTTAGATTTATATTCCAATCAAGATTACCAAATTTTTCTTGGGTGAGTTGTAAAAATAATCTTTCTGTTTCCGCTAATGAAACCCAAATAAAAAATTTTTGTTTGCCGTTTGAATGATAATGAGGAGATTTCCCGTAATGATTATCAATTCTAACCAATTCCGAGGGATTTTCTAAATTGTAAGCAACTAGTTTTAATTTATAACCGTTTGGGAACTCCCGAGGTTGAGGAAGAGGTAATTTTCGTAACTCAACCTCAACTCCTAACAAAAATCCTCGGTCGGTGATTAACTTTCTCTCTTCTGACAACAGCAAATCATCTTTTTTCTCCATATATGTAATATTTTACAATTTACAACCCAATAATCCATTTTATATCGCATTTCGTTCTTAAAACCTCAATTAAACCCTCCCCTTGGTGAAAAATAACAAAAAATATTCTAGTTAGGATGGTATTTTCACGCCGCAAAAAGAAAATCAGTTCCATCTGGTGCAGCAAGTGTAAAAGAAAGATAATTCGTTAGTTTTTGCCAAATTTTAGTCCGAATAAATTAACTTTCATTTAGGAAGAATTCCTACCCGTGCCTGAATGGAACTTTCGCCCATTTGCCTGGAAATATCTTTTTTCTCTAATATAACTTTATTTTTTGGTAAGAGGTTTGGGAAGCGATTTTTATCGGCCTTAATATTATTTTTTTCTAATGCTGAGATAGTTATCAAAGAAATGAGTTTGGGAAAAAGTTGGTTTCAATTTAAGAAAGATTAAAAAAGTACTTTATACTTGCTTGGACCTTTGCCAGAAATGAAGAGCATTATCAGTTGTTTTTAGATAAAAAGTTATCAACCGACAAGAGTTTGTGATTGCGAGACAGGCATTGGTTTTGCAGCATAACGTCTAACCTAAACTTCCAAATAAATCTTTGAATTGCTCGCAGTTTTATTTTCCAACCTTATACTAATTTTTTTGCCAATTTAAAAAATTCTTCCATTTTTTTCTCAGTTACTTCACCACCAAATAATTTTCTGAAGTTAGATAAATCCTCTTGTGATGAATACCTGTAAGCCCTAAGTAAACTTCTTTCTTTAATTTCTTTCACCTTAATTTCATGTTCCTTATACCATTTTTCTGTTTTTTCTTGTTCTTCCCGTCATTCCCTACTTTTCATCATTGCCTGTTGCTTTTTTACACACTCTTTACTACAGAAAAAAGACGAAAAAGTTTGAGAAGTGACTTCAAAACGCTTAGAACATTTGGGAGCAAAGCAGTAAAGAAATTCTCTGCTTTCCTTTATCATATAGGCATGGATTTTTCTTATTATCTGAAGTCGTTGATCATTTAGTGGTTTTTCTTTTAATTCCTCTTCGGTATAAATATCGTAAAGAGAAAATGACCCTCCTTTGGCTCGTCAAACTTCGCCGGGGATCATTTTAACTATTTTGTCTAATAAATTACTTTCTACTGCCTCGTAATCCCTTGTTTCTTTTCCATTCCAAATGTCCATTCGTAATTTACGATGCGACTCCTGATTTTCATAAAGTCCTTGGCAATAACGGTCGCAAAAATTACCTTGTTTTTTTCGTGTCTTGTCGGTACAAAAGAAACAACGGCCGGTTTTTGGATGGGATCAAAACCTATCTTTTCCAACTTTAAATATTTTTAAAAATTTGTTGTCAACGACTATTCCAGCAAGAATTTTCTGGCTAGTTAGAGTTTTTGATAATGGACCAATGTTTTGCTTGTTTTTAACCATATTTTTTTAGTTTTTTAAATAATTAATCTTTCTTTAGTTAGAGGGCGAATTTGTCGGCTCATTTCTTTTTTTTGGCTAGCGACAATGCCCTTCAAACATTCTCGCTCATATTTTTGCTGTAAGTTCAGTCAAAATTCCGCTCCCTTCTCCCCCATTTTAAAATAAAATCCTAATCGTAAAGCGGTATCAGCACTAATGCCCCGTTTGGCTTGACAAATTTCGTTAATGCGGCGAGTGGAAACGTTAATGGCTCGTGCTAGTTCCGCTTGGCTAATGTCTAAATAGTCTAATTCGTCTTTTAATATTTCTCCGGGATGAATAGGAGTTAATTTTTGCTTCACTTCCATATTTTTATTTACTTTAATTATTCGTCATGATAGTCCACTGTTTCCACATCGTAGGCATTGTTATCTTGACCTCAGATAAAACAGAGCCGAAATTGTTTATTAATAGCAATGCTGTGTTGGCCTTGTCGTTTGCCTTTTAATTTTTCTAATCGGTTGCTGGGCAAACCTGCTAAGGTTATTAAATCAGGGGCAGCATCCAAGATTAATAATCTTTTTTGTCGTTGTTTGAAGATATGCTGTCATCGCAATGGCGTCTTATCGGCATCCCAGGCTTCGGCTTCGTCTTTATACTTAAAACTTTTAATCATTTACTATCATAGTGATTACACTATATGTATATTTTATATGATTTGGAAAGCATAATTAACTAGCGAAAAATTTGCTAGTTACTTCGCACAAATCGTTTTATGTTATTAAAAAAATCTTCTTGTTTTCTTTTCCTCTTCTTCAGTGAAATCAGTTCAGTAAATTTCGCCTCTTCGAGGTTGCGAAGACTTAAAACCAGTTTTTCGTCTTTCTCCTCGGCGAGGAAAATAGCCTATCGGAGAAGAATTTTGCTTAATTCTTTCTCCTCGCTTGATTATTTTAGAACTCATTATAATCTTTTTTGTAAACTTTTTAAAGCCGCTTTTGGGGCTGGCCTAGTTAGTTTTTTTCTTTCTTCATCTAGACGGATTTCTTGCTTTAAACCTAACACTTCACCATTAGCGGCTACATAAAGCCGGCGGTATTCATCTCTTTCTTTTTCTA